AAATGCGAAATTACAATAAGAAATACAAAGACGCGAAAAGCAAAAACCCATCTCAGTATAAAACTGGAGATTATGTGTTAGTTAGAGACTGGAGGAATAAACCAGGAGTGAACTCCAAACTTAAGCCAAATTATAAAGGACCATAATGTAATAGATAAGGCTCTGGGATGTAACCGTTACGTAGTAAAAGACATACCGGGATGCAATATTACCTCGAGAAAAATGGATACGATTTTATCGTCAGATAAAATTAAACCATGGCTTAAGCTTGATGCTCACGAGTAAATGATACCTTTATACTTAGATAGTAGCGAAAATTAGTTATAAGGACAATGTAAGACAATACAAGAACAATACATACCTTTATACTTATTGTTAGATTATTAGCGAAAGTTAGTTATAAGGATTAGATTAAGGTAGATTAAAAAAACAAAGAGATACTTACCAAAGAATCCGAGTCGTCTTGATGTGTAAAGAACTAGTCACCAATAAACTGAAAAAAAAGAAAAGAGAAAAAGCTTCGAGCCGAAGCTCAAAGCAGGATGGCCGAAGTTGTAAGAGTAAAAATGAGACAGACACTGACATCTAGCGGGACCGATCCCAATGAGTGCAGGAAGCGACCCCGCCGGATGTCAGTAGCGCGCGAGTGTTCCCGAACGATCGAGAACATTCGCGAACATTTAGGAAAGTCGGAGAGGGAGAGATTCCGGCAAAGAAGCGGGACTCTCCATCGAGACAGCAGCACGTACGCACGTGTTGTCGAGGGTCGCTCAGTAGTTAGTATAGTCAAGTGTTCAGTGAATAAAACCAGTATTAACGCAAATAAGAATAATCATTTCGGACCACCAAACCAACCCCTTTCATTTATTATTTTTCAAAATACCCCTATAACTTAACAATTTTGAAAATGTTACATATTGCGGCGGCCTCAGGCGTTTCTGTACAACGGCCGCCTGACCATCACACAGTGCCGGCGCCAACACAAAAAGCTCGGGCCGCGGAGGAAAGCTCCGCGAGTCACTGTTAGGCGCCACAGGCCCCGTACGTGTTTTTTGCACGCAAAATTCAGTGGAATGCTTTAACATATAAGCACGCACCGCAGGACCTATGGCATGAATCGAATCCAAAGAGAATCCTAACAGGTGAATCAGAGGAAAGCTTCATGCGTACATTATGGCCCAGCACGGTAGTCACTCCGAGAAGGAAGACTAAAGTAGCCGTACCCGAGTCAGCAACTAACGCCTCGAAGAACGTCGCAGTACCTCCAGCGGCGCATCCTGATGACGACGGAGAGGACCAGGGGCTCGATTCTTGAATTTATTCGAAGGAGCAACGTATGCGAGAATTCTGCTCTTACAGAAAAGTTGCAAGTTGGTTGGCTATTCGCATGGCTTTAACCAATCGACTTTCAACTTTTCTGTCAGAGCAGAATTTTCGTACACGTTTCTTCTTCGAATGAATTCAAGAATCGGGCCCCAGGTCGCAGCCACAGCAGAGCCGACGACACCGACAACTACATCGCCGACCAGTCACAACCCACCGAGTGAACTAACAATAAGATCATCAAAAACGTAATGGTGCGGCTACCATAGAGGACGTGTTTCCAATATTTCGACTGGCGCTTGATCCCGCTGGTTTTATCACCGCCACAGCTGACTCGTCCACCCAGGATATTCTTACTGCCTTAGGATATACGAGTTAAGCGCTTTACCAACCCGAGATATAACATATACAGTCTCGTCTGTTCTCACCGATCATTACCACATTCACCATCTCGGACTGTGCACTGCAGAGCAACTGAGACTACCAATCTGAGCAGCGTACACCAGTCTACAGACCCCAGGTTGGACTACGACGGAAGAAAGTGCTCAGTAGCTAGGTTCAATTATGGGAAATAAATGCATTGCCATCATCATGGCACTCGTGAACAACGTCTTGATCAATCTTAAATTCGACAGAAATTATTGTAATGGTGAAAGCGGACTGAAAATTCCTCAAGGTAAAGAAGCATGAGTCGCTAGTGGTAATCGTGTCCTAGCGCGGACCACCCCCCGGCGGTAGACGCCATCACGCTGGTCGCCGCGGCGGGTCGGGGTGAAAGGGGGGCGGGCTTCCCCCGACACTTCCGTCCGTCCGCGGGGCCCCCCTGCTTTGGCAAGCACGCGCGAGGTGTCCGCGAGGTCGGAGGCGCGGAACCCCTGAAAACCCCCACGCACC